TTCGCTTACGTTGCACCATCATTTTCGAGTATAAAGCTTATGTTTCGTAAGCTGAGCTTAAGGCACGTTTTAAGCTTAAGATGTGTTGGTGCAACCAGGCATAATAAATGCCTTAATAACCCTCGATCTAAAAATTATTTAGTTTACTGTAGGATTTTTTTTGCAGATACCATGCGAAAAAAAATTCCAAATAGTTCAGCATTGCAAAACTGCTTTACACACCGGCAAAAAACAGAAATTAGAATCGGGAGAGAAAAAGCAAGATTCGATATCTAGATGCTTACAATCAACTAATCGGAAATCAAATGAGCAAGAGATATTTAACCATGATTTGTGTGAAGCATTGTTAAGCTCAAATATACCTTTGTCCAAATTATCGAACGAAAATTTGCGCATGTTTCTTGGAAAATACTGCAAATGGAATATTCCGAGTGAAAGAAGCTTAAGAAGAAACGAGGTCGATTCTGTTTATTCTGCTGTACTGAGTAAAATAAAATTAGATATAGGAGACAATTATTTTTATGTATGTGTGGATGAAACAATTGATTCTTCTGGACGTTATATCGCACATTTATTAATTGGATCTTTTAAAAATGAACAAGCTTGTAAATCGCATTTAATTGCTTCCAAGCAGTTGGATAAAACCAACGCACTAACAGTTACAAGGTTTTTGCAAGATAGTTTAACAAATTTTTTTCTTCCTTTAGCTGTTCCCAATGAAAAATTTTTGCTGTTTCTTTCAGATGCTGCACCTTACATGGTTAAAGTAGGAAACAATTTGAAAATTTTTTATCCGCGTTTAGTACATACAACTTGCCTAGCACATGGTTTAAATAGGGTCGCAGAAGAAATTAGAAATAAATTTCCTCTTGTTAATAATTTAATTTCAAATATGAAAAAAATATTTCTTAAGTCACCTATAAGAACTCAGTTGTATAAAGAACATTTGCCCAATCTTCCTCTTCCACCAAAACCTATTGTTACTAGATGGGGAACTTGGTTAGAGGCTGCAATGTTTTATGCAGAACATTTTTCTGAATTGAAGCCAGTAATAATGGAATTAGCTGACGATTCTTCCGAAGCACTTACAGTTTCCAAAGAATTACTGAAAAATAAATTACTACCACAGCAACTTTCATACATAAAATCAAACTATGATTTTGTGCCAAGTTGCATCCTTCAGCTACAGGATACGAATTTATCGTTAATTGAAGCAGTTAAAGTAATAAAAAAATTTGAACTATCTTGCAAAATTGTTGAGGGTCAAATTGGCAAAGACATTTTAGCAAAATTTAAGTCAGTCATAGATAAAAATACTGGTTTCATATTTCTATCTAAGGTTGCAAATGTTTTAAGTGGGGTGTTTGATGAAACATTAAATATAGAGGCTGAAGTTTTAAATAATTTTAAATACGCTCCTATAACTTCGGTGGATGTAGAACGGAGCTTTTCTATATACAAACATATGTATACAGATAGGCGACAAAACTTTTTGTTAGAAAATTTTGAAAAACATATTATCACATATTGTTTTTTAAATAAATAGTCATGTATAATATATATTTATCTAATTAAAATAGTTGCTTAAAAGGTTTGTTTTATTTTATAATATCAAGCACTCAACTAATATTTTATAAAGTTATTATATTTAAACGGTTTATGAAGTGCACATTTTGTTTAAATAATGCATATACATGCATATTTGACACAAAAAATATATGCATATACATGCATATTTGACATAAATAAATGCATATACATGCATATTTGACATACATAATATGCATATATATGCGCATATATCTTACTTTTTAGCCTGCATATTTGCCTGACTTTGGTAATTATGAATACAAAAACATTTTTAAAAACACGATTTCTAAACATGATGCATGCAATTGAACGGATTTTACAAATAGTTGAATCGCTTAAAGCCTATTTTCTATCATGTATGAATTGTTCTACAATTTTGAGATAATGTTTCAATGATCCCATTGCAGAGATATGGATGTGGCTCGTTCATAATGTGGCCTAGCAGTTTCATGAAGCTATTCTAAAAGTAGAAGGTGATAAAACAAATGCGACATATGCTGCCCAAGAATACTTTAATCATAAAAACAAGTTAGAATATCGGTTGGACACATTATTTTTGCCGCTTAAAGTGAGAGAATGTCTTGGTAAACTTAAAGACAGGTTTGCCGCAACTGAAAACTTTACTGAACTAGTGAAACATTTTTACATGAAATCTGTAACCTACCTAGAAAATTGTAGTACAAATCTACTATTCAAATGGATAGATCTAAGAAGTGAAATAACAAGAAAAGATGTTTTTTATTCTCTTGAAGCTTTTAAATTGTATATCAAGGCAACTATTTTAAATGAAGATGAACTGGAAATTTTGATAGACGTAGCTATAAGTGAAAAACTTGCTGAGTAAAATAGAGAAGAAAAAAATAGTGAGGATCAAGGGCTTGAAGTTTTTAAGTGTGTAGGTCAATTCAAACTGAAATACTTACAAATATTATGCGAATTTATTTTTTGTCTTCAGGGTACTAGTGCAGTTATCGAGCATTTGTTTTCTATATTAAAAAAATTATTGGACGTCGGAACAGTCACAAATGTCCATTTCCACTCTCAAGGCACCGATGCAGGTGTATGTAAATTTTGATGAGACTTGTAATGAAATGTTCCATTTGCTTCAGTCGAAGCAGGACCTTCTTAAATTAATGTTAAGTTCCGAAAAATATGAATGGTACAAAAAAAACAACAGAGAGACTATTCCAGGTCCCTCATCTAAAAACTCTTAAATACAGGATTTTTATTTTTCAAAGTTAATATAATGTTTAGTTTAATTGATTTATTTCTTTATGTCTATCATAATTCATCCTTTTTAATATTATTTATAATCCCAAAAATTATGATTTTCCAATAAAAAGATTCATTTTGTGTTTTTACTACATTTTTGTATTTTGTACTCATTTTTTTTTTAAATATATATGGTCACCGAATGTGGTCACCACAACAAACAGGCTTTACTTCACTAACAATAAAACATAAAAATTCGATTAACGATTGAACGAAATAAATTCGGAACATACGAAATATATGTATTTCTACGCAACTGCGGTTGTCAAATAATTATATTATAAAAAATCCAATACTTCAGCGGGCTGCTGGATTCTGAACTCATTTAAAGAACAAGTCAAAACTCCACCCAAATAGGTTGCCCCGCCCATCACGTATAAAAATTGAAAGCTATACATAAATCTAGGATTTTATTATGCTGTCAAACCATCTATCGCTTCCTTAGGCAAACCCCTCTTTCGTTTATCTCAGCAGTCAGCAGTATTTTGAGCGGTGTTGCCAATCCCGTCCCTCTAGATGTTTCTCAAATAAGGTGTTAACCATAAAATATTTACAGGAAAGAAAAGAAATAACTACAAACCATTCAGTTTATTTTTGTTATTAGTCTGTTGTAGTAGATTGGTAAATACAATGAAATATATAGGCAAATATCCGATTTATTTAAAGATACGAAGAAGATATAACTCTCAAAAAGATCCGCAAATCGGATTATTACACGGCGATTGGCAACATTGACTTTGGACGGCACTATAGACTATGGTGCGTCCTAAAAGGACACAGATAGTTGAACGATATTTTATACAATGTCTATCACCGGGTATGGATGTATTTTTGTCCAAGTTTTATATTGGTGCACTATTTCAAATGCAGTTCAAACAGACATATATGAAATTATATGATCCATTTTAAAATTCGTTCAATCTGTATATGAAATACCTCTTCAGTCTATATTATAATTTAATACTGACAATGGCACACTAAAAAGCTAAATGCCAATAAAAGATGATTCATAGTAAAAGACATATAAACTGCATTAACAATAAAACAGCCATATAAAAGACCTCTCCATTATATATTATAATTTATATACATTCATTCTTAGCACATGCTGTAATACTGAAATAATAAAAAACCAAAAGATTATGTATATAGGATATGGTTAATATTAAAGGCATCTAAACTGCATTAATAATAAAACAAATATAAAAGACCGCTTCAATATATATCATAATATAATAAATTTATCGTTAGTTTGTATTCTATGATCCTGGTATACCAAACATCCGGTTTCCGCTATATCCGGCACTTTATTTTAAGGAATGCAACTCTAATAAACAATATCTGTGAACAATTTCACAAGAACACATTCATGGAAACAAATAATTCTCGATAAGAATAGGTATTGGTCGTAGGTCAATCATCTGAAACATGTGATTGACAGAACTTGAGTAGCACGCTCCACTAGACGTCAAAACATCTTGGGTAAAAGATGTCAGTCTTCACTGATGGGAAATGAATCAGATTACGACTGCGGAGAATAACGACAGGCCGTGACTTGCTTAGAATTCTTCTTCTTTCTGAGCCATCTCCCTTCAAAGGTTGGCGATCCAATTAGCTACAACTACGCGCGAAATAGCGGCTCTATAGATTTCCATCGATGTTTTGCCGAACCAACATCGCGGGTCCTTGAGCCAAGAATTGTGTCTTCTTTCTATTGATCTTTTCTTCTGAATTTTTCCTTCAATGCTCAACCAAAGTATTTCATATATGTTTCCTCTCATTACATGCCCAATGATCGTTGGCCAGTTTCCTTATTCTTCTGCATTCTGTTAAGAATTACGGTGTTTGTTGTTCTTGTGGTCCAGGAAAATGTACTATACTCCTATAAAGGTACATTAATTCGGTGCGTTTTCCAGTGAGGGGTTAAGAGTACAGCTCTTATAGTCGTAGAGAAGAATAGGAAATATATAATAGCGCAGAATTCGGAAAGTCTTATGTCTAGAACCCTGACTGATGAAGCAGTTGTTCATTCCGATAAACGTCTTCCTTTGCATGTTCAGTTCTTGATATGACCTCTTTTGACGAATTGCAACTACTATTCATTAGTCCATACCAGATATCTGATGGATGACACCTGCTCAACGATTCTGGAATATATTCGGAGGACAGCTTGCGTTTTGTAATTTGGAGAAAAGCATGACTTTAGTTTTGGTGAGGTTTTTTTTATTTTTTAAAAGCATTCTCAGTTCTCTACAAAAAGTAATGGTGTAAGATTCTAAGTCTAAGTAAAAAACAACAAGGTGAACTTCATACTTAAAAAACAATTTGTAGGTTGTTATGGTGTTAGGAAAACTATAAGATTACTTAACATTAAAACACAACAAACTCAACGAGAAAAAAAAACTGAATTAGAGCACTGCTGTTCGTTAGTTTAGTTGTCTGGGGATTTTATTTTCTCAGATGCCTTCATTAGGCTGTGTTGTTTGAGCTCTTGCATGGATAAAACGACACGAATGTATTGTATTTGGATATACACGAGAGCGTTAAGCTCGGTACACATATACGGGCCAAACGGTATATATACGGTATGCGAACGCTATATTGTCGCGAACCAAATTGTTGCGGTTTATTCCACGACTTCAAAAGAAGCTCGTCTTTCAGTTTGGACGGCTCTACTAGACGCAGCGAACATTTTTATTGTCTCATTAAATCGACTATTTGTTTAAAAAGACGCAAGGGATGTGATGTTATGTATAACAGGAGAGTGATATATCTGGCCTAAATTATCGATGTCGGTTCTTTTATTCTGGATTTTGAATGTTTTAGAATTTGGCACACTTCAGAATTTGGATCACTTATAATAATTTTGTCGTTTACAAAGTATTTTGACATCAGTGAAAGCAATTCTGTGTTTAGATAAGATGACATGTTATGCAAGGGCACAAGAGATTTTAGAATTCCTAGTGTCGCTTTAATAAGATGTTAGTTGATCTTGAAAAGAGAGGCTGGTCTGACCGGTGTTTATATATTTATATATGTATACCTAGTTATAATTGTACATTTTTAATTATAAGACATAATATATATAATAAAATTAAAAAATTTACAAATTTTAAGTAATAATGTTTGTTCCTGTAGTACGTTACAATAAAACGATAATGGAATATTCTACAATGATCCTTACCTCAAGCTCTACGAACTCTCGGTCGGTAGTCTTCTCCAAACATCGCAGCAAATGATGATGTTGTAGTTCGAAAATATCTTCTTCTCTATAATTATCATCTAATTCTATTCCAGACTCTTGAGCTGCTAGCCGTGCCTCAGCGGCCTTCTTTTTACTAACAAATGCTGCTCCTGACGAAGCTTTGGCAATGCGAATTCGGGCCAGACGGGCTTTCTGGAAATAAAAAAATAAAAAAAAATTGACATGTATCATAATATCCTTATCTGGATAATGGCTGATTTAAAATCATTCATGAATAAATATGTGTTTCTAAGTTGGATAACTGAGGAGGGCCTGAAAGCTTATTTTTTAATATCATAAACTAAAGACCACATATGTATATACAAAAATAGACCACATATATACACTCTATCATTTAATTGAAAAAAAATGGCAAAAAATCGACCAGTACACATGGTATTCATAGATTTAAAAAAGGCATAAGACACGGTTCCCAGAAAATAACTATGGAACACGATGAAGGAAATCGGAATAACTCAGAAGTTAATAGAAGCCGTAAAAAACCTTTACAACAACAACAAGGTAAGAGTTAAAACCGACAATAGTTAGTTAGGACCACAAAAGGCTTATTGCAGAGATGCTCTACATTTCCGACACTGTTCAAGATATTCCTCGAGCAAATATTAAAACCATGGAAAAGGAAATGTGAAGGGATGGGAATACCAATCCGGGACAACTTCTTGTACACATTAAGCTTTGAAGTTGACCAAGTCGTAACGGCTCAAGATGAAGATGATCTATGCTATATGCTCCGAAAATTAGAAAAGGAGTACACAAAAAATGGATTGAAATAAACCTAGAATATACCGAATATTTAACAACAGAGCAAGAACCGGTGAGAAACTTGGAAAATGGACGATAATAGGGAAATTAACGGCACTGAAAAATGTCAAATATTTAGGATTCATATCTCTCAAAAAATGGAACCACCCAGCAAGAGATAACCAGCAGATTAGCACAGACAAGAACATATATTAAACAAATGAACGGGGTACTGTGGGATAGACAGATTACCAAAATACAAAGAATAGAATTTATAACACCTTGGTAAGCAGTATAATGACCTATGGAGCAGAGAATTGGGTAATAAATAAACGAAACAGGTCCAAAATCACAGCAACTGAAATGGAGTTCGTGAGAAGAAGCTACAAAGTAACAAAAATAGATCGCATCAGAAATGAGGAGATAAAACGAAGAATGGCAGTAGAACAAGACATACTCAGCTACGTTGAAGAAAAACGTTTAATTTGGTATGGACATGTGAGAACGAACAGATCATACAAGGTGGATAGCAAATATTTCGGATTGGAGCCCAATAGGAAGGAGGAAAAGAGGTAGACCCCAAATATCATGGAGGAATGAAGTGGACGAGGCCTTAGAGATGGAGAATTGCAGAACAGAAAGGACTAGAGACGTTGGCTGAAAGAAGGAAGGCGGCGACAGCTGTAAAAATCCTTATATAGATAGATAGGTAGATATAAACTAAATTATTATTTATTACTGTACAATGATGTAAAAATAACGATAATTTAATGTTTAAAAATAAAAATTATCTTACCCTTTGAGCTTTTCGTTTATCAGCCCTTTGATTTTGATGATATATCCTACTGAAGTTTGAGACAATGACGGGTACGGGCAGGGCGATTACCAATACACCACTAAGGGAGCAAACGCCACCGACTATTTTTCCAGCTATAGTTGCTGGCACCATATCACCATATCTAAAAATAACATAAATATTATATCTTAAATGCATCAGGAAAAATAGTGAAAATGTATGAATTTAGTTATGTCATTTTGATGATATTAATCTCCATCAGAAAACGATTTTCAAACAAGAATAAGAATAATATATACAGCGTGGTCCTTAAGTAATTGTACAAAAAGAAACCGTAGATTCTACACTTTAAAATATTACGATTTAAGTCAAGTTGCTTTAATAAAATGTTGATATTGAGAAAGATACAGGGTGTTAAAGTGGAAATTTAAAATTTTATTTTTCGCTATAACTTTCACGTTTGTAAACATTTATGTATAAAAATTTACAGCTGGGTCATATTAAATATCAGAAAATTATAATTTGATGTACACTTTGATGTAGCTGATATAGGGCGCCACATATGCACATATGTGGCATACATTTGCACTTAACTTTTTTGCTCTTCAAGTTACCGGTATTTTTAATAAAAAATATTAAAGACACATTATTTTAACAAAAAAAAAGGTATACCTGTTAATATCTTCAAAACTCAACAGTTTTCGAGATAATCGCATTTTAGAAATCAACTACATAATTCTGTTTTATCGCAATTACTCCAGGCAACGAAAGAAAATTAAAGAAAAACATCAAATACTTCTAAATTTTGGTATAAAATACCTTTAATAAAGTTAATAGTTAACGAATTATTAAATAAAATAAATATATCAGCAGAATAAAATAAGAGGATTTGATAAATAACAGAATAATTGGATTTTACATCAAACATGTTTTACGTTTTGTATTAAATTAAAGTCATAATCAAAACATTTTATTTACAAACCAAATTAAGAAAGAGTTAAACTAAATAACATTAAACTTTTTGTCAAAGTAAGTGTTCAATATGTCCACCATTTTCTTTAATTCATTTGTCAATACATTCCAAGATATCGTCTCATATTAAATAGCATCTTTGGTTCTAAAGAAATTTTATGTTATAAAAAACGAAAATATGCCTTATGTGGGTTTAACGCATGTGCAAATGGGAAAGATTATTGGTCTTGTGGAACAAGAAATGTCTCAGAGGGACATAGCAGCAGTGGTTGGTGTAAGACAGGGCGTTGTGTTAAAAACTTATGCTAGGTACCAGCTGGAATTAGTAACGCTTAAGAATAGACTAAGACGAAGTTGTCAAAAAGTAAAAATGGCTCACCATGATCGTTTGATTGACCAATTAGCTAGAAGAGGCCCAACAATTTCTCTCCCACAGCTTCAAAGGTAACTTTTGGAAGCTACTGGTGTCAGTGTTTCAGTTGAAATGATACGGAAAAGACTTCGTACCCAAAAACTATACAGTAGTAGACAGTTATGGTTCTGGACGTTATCTAGACAGCTCAATATTTATCGCTTAAATTGGTGTCTTTAACACATAAACTGGAACACTAAAAATTGGCAAAATGTGCTATTTTCAGTCGAAACCGATTTATGAAAAATGAGATGATATGAAAAAATGAGACGATGAGAGAATGATGAGATTATGAAAAATGAGACGAATTCGTGTACTTAGAGAGCAAAGATCAGCAAAAACAAAAATTACCAGATCTGTTTACAGCTATAAAGGAACAAGTGTCTCGTTCTGAGGGGGCATTATGCTTGTTTTAATGCCGTTGCGACATCGTGAGTTGTTGTTTTTGTTACGGTGCCGGCATACTACTTTCATATAACCAATGTTTTTTTTAACGGAGTCGCCTAGCAATAAAAATCGCTTCTGGCGCGATTTACAACGTCTTGGCGAAATTACCAGATCTGTTTACAGATATAAAGGAGCAAGTGTCTTGTTCTGAGGGGGAATTATGCTCAGTAAAAAAAACTTCTTTAATTTTTATCTTACCACTTTAACAGTTCGTAGGTATGTTGATTTAGTTCTAGAACCTGTAGTTAGGCTCTGGAGAGGTGCAATGGAAGAAAATTTAATTTTCATGCATGATAATGCCTTCTTCCTTGAAAGAAGAAGATATTACTGTTCTGGAGTGACCTGCTTGCTCACCCGACCTTAATCGTAAAAAGCAATTATCGGACATGCTTAAAGAAGGACCGGGAGAATCCACAAAACACTGCACAGCTAGTACAAACTGCTCTTCAAGAATGGTATAACCTGCCACAACAAAATATTGACAGTTAGTGTAGGAGTATGTCCACGCAAATTGAAGCTTGCATAAGGGTTAGAAGTGGTTACAAGTTTCACATTGAAAATTTTTATGTTATTAACCTTAAAACAAGTGTTTTAAGGTTACTAACATAATAAGGTGGTAAACACTTTTTGTTTATAAGAGACGCCTTCTATAAAAAAGGAATTTACATTAACGAGGAAATTGGGGTTCCTTTTAAGCCAAATGTCAAAAGTTCAACTACTAGAAGTGATTGTAAACATTAAAATAGAACAACAAATCTCAATAATCAGAAATAAAGCAATTATTCATTAGTAATTCTTCGAACATAATCATAAATATTTATATCATAATTACATAAAGAAATTTAAAAAATGTTAATGGAAAATATTTTTAATCCACTATTTTATCATTTTAAACTTTATTCTAGAAAACGACTTCAATTACGTGCCTAATTAATGTAGTAGCTATAAAATACTAATAAACAGATACAGGATTATAAAAAGTATTGCATATACAAATATATTGATTATATAAGTATATATGATAATACACATAATAGTAGAAATATAGGTGTCGATATTTAATACCATCAGTTTATTCGTTTCGAAGAAAGGGTTATTTGTGACAAATCACATACCAGTACTGTTCGGAATTGCTTATAGCCGAGTATATAAAGCTGTGACAGATTGACAGTTAACCACAGACCACACATGGGTTGACTGTGCTACCGAAGTGAGGGAACGTCGACGGAGAAAAGAAGAGGAGAGGAGAGCCAGCTGAGGACTGTCAGAACACGATCACACCACGAGTTAACAACGAAAATAACTCTTACAGTTGTCTTACTTGTTGTTAGTATGTAATATTGTTAAAAAAATCAATAAAACAGTTTAAAGTGTGCCCAGACTACCTTGCTTCTCGCAAACAGGCCACAAAAAAGCATTAAAAAGCACTTAACCTACCAATTTTCCGCAGCAAGTTGAATCGCTGTTAGTCCCGCCGAGAGGGCGGTACAGCTGGTACATTTTACCGTGGCCTGGCGATGTAAGTGGTCAGGCGTCGATCAGATCAAAGACATAAGTTTTACAGTTTTTTTTTGCTTTTCACTTTGTGTGCATAATGCGTTTACATGATACTTGACTGTGTTTAATATGACCTTTACTGAATTTTGAAATATATTTGCTTGTTTTAATGCCGTTGCGACATCGTGAATTGTTGTTTTTGTTACGGTACCGGCATACTACTTTCATATAACCAATGTTTTTTTTGAACGGAGTCGCCTAGCAATAAAAATCGCGTCTGGTGCCTGTTCTGATAGATAAAATACCCGAATAGAGAAATTGCTGCATTACATATTGCATTGGTAGTATTCAACAGTCAAACACATTCTGCCGTTGAAAGACATACATGGGATTTGTAACATTATCTTGTATTAAAAATAATGAAAAAATTGAACCTAACCCCGATACACAAACTGAAATAAATACATAAGACTACACAGCACCACCTTAGGATCTTTACCTATCAACAT